GCTAGAGTGAATTACGGCCTTTGTAGACTATAGGGCTGGTTAATATTTACCTTTATCTATTTTAGTACAGTTGCACTTGGAGCCATTAACAAGGTTGAAATCCTTGTGTGTGTTGGCTCAAATTAACAAACTCATATCAAATATTTTCCTTATTTTTCTTTTAAATGCATCAAATATCCTTCCAGTCGTCTTTCCAGCTGAAGGATTCTAAGTTTTTTTTTCATCACCTCCTCTTCTTTCTCTTTCTTCTCTCAGTGTTGTCCTTTAATCAGCCCTCCATCCCTCTGTAGCCTCTCTGTGTTTTTACTGTCTGCCATTTGAAACCCAGTGCTTATGTAGATAGCGGATTCTCAGGATGTCGGTCATTAAGATACACAGGGTCATCTGAGGACTAAATTAAATTAGCTTGTCTCTTTAAAAATGGAAATAAACAATCTCTATAGTACGTGCTGCTCTCCGTAGAAACTAACCAGAGAACAAGCTGTAAACTGAAAGAAGTTCTGAAGCAAAGCCAAAACTCTGATTGGATCTCATGAGTCATGACACCAGACAAGTACAGGATTGTCTTCAGCAAACACACACACACACACACAGAGACATCAGCTTCAGAAAGTTAAAGCGAACGACTTGTCCTGTATTCCCCTCTGATAGCGAGGTTGAGTTATCCTGATAGACTTGCGATAGACATGTTTTTATTGGCTCTGTGCAAACGTTCACAGGCTAACTGTTTCCAGATGGAAGTTTGTGGAGGGCACATATATCATTCAACAGAGGGGGAGGAGGAGAGAGAGAGAGAGAGCGGAGAGAGAAAGAGCAGCAGGGGTCTGTCAAAAGCATTCTGCTCTACTGACGAGGGCATTTCCTGTCTGGATTTGGGAGGATTAAGTATTTGTGCGTGGGGGGTGTTTGTATGGTTGGCATGTGGAGAGGGGGACAAAGTACGGGACTTCGCAGGACTTTTGGGGCTTTCTGCACATGTTTGATTTGAATAACCATGATTGTAATGCATGTTAGGAAAGGAATGAAAGTGGATATATAAAAGCAAGAAGTGATTTATTGTCAGGGTTTACACATCTTTGAGAAAAAAAACATTGTTGCCAAATAGTGTTTAAGTCTGGGCCTTCTGAGGTTGCTTGTTTTGTCCAGTTGAGTCCTATTTGTGTAGCTTATTTCATACTGCAAGCATTCAATCTGTTTTTAATCATTTTTGACAGATGGTTATTGTGCATGAGAGTCTTGGGGGTCATAATAAAGCTAAAAACAGCTTCATTGTTCAATTGTTTTTACTTTTCTGTTTTTTTCCCTTGACTCATAAACAGTACAACAACACAAACTGCAGCTCCTTTAAGTGTGTGTGTTCCTTATTTCTGTATTCACTCCATCGAGAGTTTTGTGAAGTCAAGTCCTTTTTGGCGAGTCCTCACATGTTGGAGAATCGTTTAGGATTTGGGTTTAGGTTTGTGATTAGAGTTAGAGTTTGGTAAAGATTAAGTGAAGAAATGTCGTATATATGGATGTCACGTATTGTTTTAAACTTCAAAAAAGAAAATGGTAATAAAAAAACATGATTAAACTCTGTAGGGCAGGTACTTTTCAGCTTGCTAACATATGCTCACAGACGACCCTAGAAGAGAACACCAAGTGTGAGCTCATCCAGGCACAAATATTCAGGTGTAGGACAAATAATACAGGTTGAAATGTTGCCTTAAAAAAGAGAAATGAAATATTTATTTGGAGCCAATCTGTGTGCAGACTTTTTCTCCTTTGTGCCCCACAGTGACGATGCTTACATGCTCACAATCACAGTTAACATTTGCTAGGTAGCAATAGCTGAAGCTGATGGGAATGTGATTAGTTTTGTAGGTATTTTGCTATAAACCAGCTTATTCAGTCCTTCATTAGTCTGTATTTGTCCTCCACACCTACAGTCATTTGAATTTGGTCTTTTTCAAAGGTGTTGCAAGGTCTGCTACTCCATGACATTGCTAGTCAAACATCTACCATGTTATCAGCTTCACTTTTCTTACTTTCCCTTTCTTTTTGCTCTCTTCTGTTTCATATCTGCTTTACCATCATACTATTGTGTGTGTGTGCGTGTGCGTGTGTGTGTGTGTGTCTGCTGTTAATCATTGTCTATTTATTACAGAGTCCAGTTCTGGCTTGAAAGTCCAGTAAATTCACCACAACTGACAGATTCCAATGACGGTCTGAAGCTTTATTCCATCATTGATGATTTAGGTAGTGTCCATTTAACTTTAGCATCTGACAAGACAAGCAACATCTGACTATGAATTAAATGACAACCATGTGACCAGCGTAAATATAGAAAAAACTAGTTTGACCCCCTAACCCAGAGAGAAAAAATCATGATTCACGATGTAGAGTCATGGGATTAAAAATGTCACCGTCATATGAAAGAAGAAGTTCATGCAGAGGCTCAACCATGACTAATACAATCCTGTCAATCTAGAAAACAAAAAACCAGGAAGCTTATCTCTCCACCAAGGCTGCACATTGTTTTAATTTTAATAACAAAACATATCTCCAAGTTTCAATTGAAGTGCATAATGGAATAATCACTTATCTGACTGCAGCCGTGATCTTTGGAGAATACCTGAATCATGTCATGGACTTTTTAAAACGATTTCTTTAGCTGTGCAACATTTAAAATGAAGTTGAGCAACACTGACCTCTTCTGCTTGAAGGTTTGGCCACACCCAACAGTGATGTCACAGTGTACTGAACACACTCAAGAGTGCACTTCTACATCACTGCAGCGAGTTGAGAATTTCAACCAGTGAAGGTGCATTTTAAGGTTTGGCCACAGCAAACAAAGCTGTAAGTTATTACCATAAATGTGTTATCTGTCCAACATTCAGTCTCTTTTATTTTTTTTAGTTTCCACCAACTCCTGAGAAAAACATCTGACTCTTTAGCAGCTAAATGATGTTTACCAGCTTTGTTTCTGCTGTTTGGTGCTGGGCAGGTAGCGTACAGTGGATGTCTGAGACCTTTATTGCTTCTGGAAATAGTTGATTTGAACAGAGAGAATGAACCAAAACAGTAAAAAAAAAAAAAAAAAAAAAAGGAGCTGAAAGATGCTAAAAAGCTGTGGAGGTAAGAGGAACTTGGTGATCATTTTTGAGCACTACGAGTTATCACTTCCACATACACACAGTAATTTGATCCATTGCTAGTATGTGATGTTGATTATTGCAGCTTTAAAGTGAACGAGCGCCACCTACAGGCAAGATGCATGAACTAGGATTGCTTAATGTTTTCATGTTAAACCCCGTTCAAGAAAGATGGCAACTTATGTCACCTCAAAGAATTTGGGAGCTAATTATAGGAAAATGATCAAACATCAAAAAACAAGTGAAAAACCTTTTAGTGGATCCTGAAATATGCATTAAATTTAGTGAAAATGGAAAGTGGCCTTAGTTCCGACTGGTTTTCATTGAACTCTGCGGAGGGGGAAGCAAAGTATTTGCAAGATTGAATCAGCAAAACAAAGCCTCTCTCTCGCTGTCGGCCTGCTGCATTATGAACAGAGCATGTGTGCAGGTGTCAGGTAACTTAGTGAACAGACACCACCCGCCTCCTTCAACACACCCTGCTGACAGGACAGGACAAGCTGACTTACATAAGAAACAACCACACCTGGTTAACTGGTTTCACAGTTTATCCTCCATTTACTAAAATAGCTCCATTATAATTCTTAAATAAATATGTTCCTGTAACAGCAGCAAATAGAAATATGACACAAACATGTTAGGGTAACTATTGTTGTGTTAATTTTGTACTTAGGAGGTGATTATATTTAGCAGGGCAGCAGAGGATTTTTGAGGAGTTTACACACAACATAATTACACACAAATTACATGTGGTTGGGTTTTTAAAAGTAGCTGACTCTGGTATTCTTTGTGGTATATGTTTAGCATCTTAAATGTGCCAAAATAAAAGAGGATTATAAGCCATTCCTGGTATTCTAGAGAATTCTCTGGAGCAACATTTACACCATCATATAGTGAGATATAATATAGTAGTTAAATAAAAAATATATGGACACCCTGGTAGCTCACCTGGTCACTGTCACTCTACAAGTGTCATTATCAATTAAAGGCAATAAAAGCCCAACAAATATTTAAAAATATAATCATCGGCAGAGCAGGAGGGGTTGCCTCTGGGGCTCCGGCCCCCAATGTTTTCTCAAAAGCCTAAAATCTTTTAGGCTCATAAATCGGCTTGAATTTAATTTCAAAAATCTAATTAACAAGTTCTATTACTGGGGAAATATATGCATCTCTTAAAGGTCCAACCTGTCTTGTGTGTGTTTCACCCAGTCGTGTCACCTCAGTGAGGAAGCTCGCTAACTATCTTATGGACTATGGACATGAGGTTTATCATGAGAAGTCAACCTCAACTATTTTGTTGCCTCTTTTTTAGACATCAGGAGTGAAAATGAGTCATCCTCAACATTTGTTGTGTTATGGTCTCAGCTGGAAAACAATTAGAAACAAAATAAAATGTTTTTCTCTGTGCAACTATCCCACATTTTCCCCAAATGATGTACAGAATTTGGGTTCTGTTATCTGAAATGGCTTGAGAAAATAATGCATATAGCTGCCATAAATGGGACCCCTGGAGCCCCCCCATAGGTTTGGGCTATACAACATCCAGCTCCGCCCCTGTATAGAATATAAACGTTTTTTGTTTGTTTTTGGTGGCTATAGTTACAAAACTTTCTGGAGTAATTTAGACTCATGATCTCATAAAATCTTATCTATAGCCCTGTGATTACACACACACACACACACACACACACACACACACACACACACACACACACACACACACACACACAGAGAGAGAGAGAGAGAGAGAGAGAGAGAGAGAGAGAGAGGGTTAAAAGAAACACAGACGCGGACTGAACTCCACCCATGTCGCGTCACTACCGACCTTTCACAGGTGTCACATCCACTTTCTTTCCACTTTCTCATTCGAGAAAAGGTGATTCCCACACACACACACACACACACACACTCACACACAGGCCCTGCTGTCTGTCACTTCCCGGATCCAGCGGATTCAAGCTGCTGTGGAAACTTTCACAAGTTTGCTGTGGGAGGAAGGAGGGAGAGGTGGGGGGAGACAGATCTGTGAGCCTACAGCCGCACTGCTGCTCTCACACACGGATCAATTCGGGATCTGAGCTCCGGGATGTCGGCCGTGAAGGCGCTGCAGCAGTGGTGCCGGGTCCGGTGTGAGGGCTACCGGGATGTGTCCATCACCAACATGACCACGTCCTTCAGGGACGGCTTGGCTTTCTGCGCCCTCATTCACCAACACAGACCCGATCTCATGTAAGTACTGAAACCAGCAGACTGGATGGACAACAACGCAGGGACTGAGAGAAGTGTTTGGAATTTCCGATTTTGATAAAACACACCGTGTCAGTGGTGTTTGTATCCAGGATGTGAAGTGTTTAGGGAAGAATGAGTCTGTTGGTTTTACTTCCCTGCGTTATGTTTCAGCGGTTCTTTGATTAAAGGGAACAAGCTTCAGCTTTAATGGGTCTGTAGGAAAAGTAGGAGCAGGAGCTGTGGACTGTGGAGCTCAATGTACAACCACACTGCCCCCCCGCCCCCCAGCAGGTCTGCAGGGAGGGCCACTGAAGCTTATTATAGTTAAATAAAACTGAACTAAAACTAAAGTGTGGGAAAGCATTTTAGTTCACTGAAATACAAATAAAAACTAGACTAATGTACCTACAAAACTGAATTAAATAAAATGAAAATATATAAGAAATGTCTTTTAGTTTTCATCCTTTTGTCAGATTTGTCAACAGAAGAAACTTAAAACTAACTAATAAAACCTAATGAACTAATAAACTAGCAAACCCACTTTGGAAACTGAAACTAAACTCAACTGAAAACAGCTGCTGAGATTTGCATATTTCTACATTTGGATTGGTTTTTATTTGACTAATGTCTTTGGACATTTTACCCGTCCTCGGTCAATCCTGTTGCTCAATATTTATATTATTGGGTGCATAGCTGTAGACTTAAGACTCGAGACTCCAACAGAGACAAGCAACCACACTGACCTGTAAAATCCTGGGTTTAACAGAACAACAGGCAGATAGCATATGGAAGAAAATAATGGCCTGAAGGATTTGAATCTTATAAACAACTGGATACATAATTGTGAAAATTAATCACTTGTGGATCTGTTAAAATGTAGATACCACAGTATTTATAGCACTGAAATATTTCACTTTGAAGACCATCTTTATGAATTTATGTGGTCTGATCTGTTACACTAAAATTCAAGATTCTGAAGTTGAAGTTGAACCTGAATGTAATCAGTCAGTCATTATTTGCTTCCGTAATAGCCACACATGATCTTAACTATTAGGCTTGTTCAATGTGAACAACACCAAAATACTTAAAAACTGCTCTTTTTGTCTCATTTGTAAATTAAAGTGGCACAAACCTCTCCTATTCATAAGCTCTCATCCAGTTTAGGGCAGAAACTAATGATGTTTATCATTATTAAATATAATCTCTTGCTTTTTTCTTTGTTTGTGTAGACCATAAAATGGAAGAAAACAGTGAAAAATGCACAAAATGCACATTCCCAGAGGCTACAGTGATGTCTTCGCAGTGTTTGTTTTATCTGGCAAAACCCAAAGATATTCAATTTACGATGATGATGATGATGATGATGATGATGATGATGATGATGATGGAGAATAGAAGCAGGAACCAGTTTTAAGTTTGGAATTTTTGCTCGATTAACATCTTAAACGAGATGATTGATTATCAAAATTATATTGTTTATTGTTTCAGCTCTTCTCATCGCTGTAGCCACTGTTACTTATTATTGTTTAGTTTGTGCACTTAGAGCTGTAATTCTGAGTTGTGTGGGATCTTCACACAGTTTGTGTGTATGTGTTAAACATCCTTTTCCTTTTGGTTCATTGATCAAATGTTTGGAATTAAGTTTTTACAGGAAAGTAGGACATGTGCTTCCATTTTTTCCCAGGATTTCCTCATAACTACCTGGGAATTTCCACTGGGGAATAATGATTTAATATTTAGTACTTGCAGCTGTAAAGCCTTTTGACGCAAGATGGTCTGAATAATATCTCTCCACGTCAGGCTTTGGCCTATTTCTTTCAGATATAAAGGCTTGACTCACCATCTCAAGTTGAACTTTGGCCAGTTTCACACAGAGACGCCTGGTTTTGTTCCAGAGCGGCCATTATGGCTGACACACAGTAGTTTCGCTTTAAGAAGAGGCACAGCTGTTCCAGTCTTTTCCATTCCTGTTTTTACCTTCAACTAAACCAATGTGGACAAACATTTCATGTTTATGTGCTGAAACCCTAAATATTGGTTAAAGGCTTTAGTTTACTCAATATATACACTCTCATGCACTGAATGCAGGCTGAGCTTTCTGTAAGTTTCAGTGTTGTGATGACACACTGGCTGTGTATACATGAGATCTGTGACACCACAGCTTCTGTGTAATGAACTGATCAGTCACACTGTCGGTGTCGTGATATATGTCAATGTTAGGGAGCTGTGCATGACTAAATAACACATGTTTGGTCTAGACTGCTTGTAAACAAATGGACGAGGGAGGAAAGAGGGATCACATGTGTTTTGTTACTCATTTTGTTCTCCTCTGTTGCAGCAACTTTGATTCACTGAAGAAGGAAAATGTCTACGACAACAACAAACTGGTAAGACGTGACATTCTGCATATATTGACCTCTGAATGTTTCAAATTTTTTTTGAGTTCCTCCTAAACAACGTATGTTTGTCAAATACATACAAGGTTTCAGTAAAGTACATTTCTCTTCTGACCCTCCAGTTAACAAATGTACTTATTTTTAGCTCTGCTAGCCACTCAACAGATAGCACTGTTTCAATATGAATATGACTTAAAGGTTTCCTATAAAGTTTTAGACCTCTATGGAGCTGTTTTTCTAGGAGTGGGTTCCCATTCTGTGTATCTCAGGTGATACATTGTCAGTGGTTACAGTGGTTTCCAGCATTTTTGGTTTTGAGTGAGATGTTTAAACAACTATAGGATGGAAATTTGGTGCAAATATTAAAGGTCCAGTGTGCAGGACTTAGTAGTGTCATGTAGTGGAGTAGTTGCATATCATAACTCCTTCCCTTCCGAGCGCGAACGAGAATCTACGGTGGCTGCATACTGCGTGAAAAACGCAAACAGCCCTATCCAGAGTTAGTGTTTGTTCCTTCTGGGCTACTGTAGAAACATGGCGGTTCAACATGGTGGACTCTATGGAAGGTGACCCGTGGCGTCTGTAGATATAAAAGGTTATGTTCATTCAAAACATAACAATGCCCATATTCTGGTAATTATACACTACTGAAAATATTTCTATCAATAGATCTTTTCAATGATACACACTGGACCTTTAATGTTCCCCTCAGGATGAATTGGAATAACTTTTGTGATCTTTGGATTTTTCATCTAGCGCCATCATCAGGTCAAAATTTGTTAAAAACTTTGTTTTATGACCACATTACTGCAAAATGAATGACGTTCCCTCCGCCTCAGCTGTACGTACTGGTTATTGCTTATTAGCAAATATGTCTAAGACTGTGAGCATGGTAAACATTATACCTGCTAAACATGTCAACATGTTAGGATGCTGACATTAGCATTTAGCTCAAAACATTTTCAACTTCATTCTTGACCTTTTGAAGTAGTATTTATGATAAATTAAACTCAAATGAAGGTCCACCTATGAGCTGTTTCCAGGGCTTTCAACCACACGTCATAATGTCCTAATAGTGGATGGAGTTTTCTCTGATGTCTACACTTGACCTAAGACGTCACCCTGGGCTGTGGGAAATTGTGACAGACATTTGTAATTATTTTCTGACATTTTATAGACTAAATGGTTAATAAATCAGTCCAAAAACAATTGATTGATTAATCTATAATGAAAGCACAGCCATAAATTGTTTCTACATGTCTGTTGGCTCTGGATATTGCTTCAGCACCACTTGATGTTGGGTAACAGGGAATTTTCTAAATCAAAAAGCGTCAGTGTTCAAACAAAGCTGAGAGGAGAAGTCATTGCCAAATACAGAGTGTTTCAATCTGGGCACTTTGACGTTGGCTAGTTTGTTGCATTCTTTACTTTCAATTTCTCCCCAGAGCTTCATTATTAGACTCTTTGGGACTGACAAAAGCTCAACTTCACAAACTTTTGCTCTTTGCAGTGCAGAAGAATAAAAGCCTAATTTTGCGGCGATTATATGGCACTATTCAGGATCTTAACAGAAACAAAGCAGAGCATGATGGTCAATAAAACCACAATAAGCTGTAGAGATTAAAGTGCCATAGGGCACAGCAAAGCAAACAGTGTTTTTATGGCTCCCTTGATCATCTGATTGCTGATTTAAATTCTGCCTTTGGTGCTCTTTGGCCTGCCTCTGCTTGTTGTTTCTTTTTGCTTCCATGGAATTGCTGAATGTGAGTCTGGAAATTCCTGACTACCAAACTACTCTCTTAACACATAAGGTGTAGATTTAATCTTTGGTCAGAATTCTTCCATTTGAACAAAACCAATATCCACATGGGTGGGATGGGCATCTAAAAGCAAATGCCAGGCACTCAAATAAACAATAAAAACTAATTCAAATGAAGACCTTTTTAAAAAAGGACCAATATCTATTGGCACTCTGGCTTTCTCTTTCATTTTGACCTAAACTGTCTCTAAAAAAAAAGATCCTTAAAGAAGGCCCTGGTAAAATAAAGCTAAAATCCTAAAAAGAAAACCCTCTATAATCTTTTTCCAACAGTCTATGCGACACAGAAGCAAGCATGCACTTGAATAGTAACATCAAGCAGCAGAGGTCTTGTATGAAGTGTGCTAAAAAAGGGCTGCACAATTAATTGAAATATTATCTAAATCGCAGTGTGGCCTAGTGCAATATCCAAATCGCAGAAGCTGCAGTTTTTTGATAAAGGTAAAATGTGTGACAGTCAGCATTATAATGAAGTACTGTAGTTCTGTAGTGCTGCCCTGTTCTATTAATCTTATACTCCAAATGTAAGAAAACATGTTTGTTCATCACAATTGAATAGTTTTTTTTTTTTTTTTCAGTGAAAATAAAAATTGTAATGCAAAAGTTATCATTCCCACTAATTGTGAAACATATCATAATATCTGTCAAAATAATCACAATATGATTTTGTAGCACTAGTTAAAATGGTCTCCAGGTTTTTCAGTGGCGTCTCACAAAGTCAGACTATCTGCTTTGTATTTGATTTATTGCTCCATGTCCATCTTGGGCCCCTTGATCTAGATCCTGAAAATCCATCCTGAGCTTTTCCTGTTTTGATGGATAAAGTCGATGTTATTTGCAGGCGTTCAAGGTTGCGGAGGAAGAGTTGGGAATTCCAGCTCTGTTGGACGCAGAAGACATGGTGGCTCTTAAGATTCCTGATCGCCTCAGTATCCTGACATACGTCTCACAGTACTACAACTACTTCCATGGACGCTCCCCGAGTGAGTATCTCACTGTGTGCATCTCTGCCTTTATCCCCTTCTTCCTGTTTCATCCGTCTATACAGATATATATTTATCTATGTGTTTGCTGCAGTTGGTGGTATGGCAGGAATAAAGCGCCCAGCTGAGGACCCCACAGAGGAACCGTCTGGGAAGAAGAACCAGCCAGTGGCTTCAAAGGTGTTTCCCTCTTCAAAACCCGCCAGAGAGAACAGCCCTCCCCCGTCCTCCAACATCACAAGGCCCGCTCCTTCACCGAAGAAAACCAGAAATGCCACGCAGGTAATGTTTCCTGCCTGAATGCTTCACAAAAGCATTTGTAAGTTATGAATCACATTTGAGATTCCTCGGTTCTTTTGGAATTACTTCACTCACGAGAAATGTGGAAGTTTGTCAAGAAGAAAACTTTAAAGATGAACCCAAATAACTACAAAGTTCTGTTGTTGTGTCTGTATCACACTGCTATTACAAAACAAAAACCCCACGTTGCCTCAGACCAGTTACAGCGAGTACGGTAATAGATTAGCTGTTGTGAATGATGTTTTTCCACCACATGAACCCTCTCTCACCCTTTCTTCTCTTCTTCCAGGATGAGAAATCCCATCCTACAGGCACGCTGAGTAACAAATGTATGTCCTGTAACAAGCACGTTCACCTGGTGCAGCGACATCTAGTGGACGGGAAGCTCTATCACAGGAGCTGTGGAAAGTAAGGGCCCATGTAAATGAATTGAACCGTAACTGATCCTTATAATCTATGGAGACTAGAGTGTGCCAGCAGAACGTTTGTAGATGTTTTAAGGTTTCAATTAAAATCAGTTAATTAATTGATAAATCTAAAAAAAGCAATTATAAATTGATTAATTAAATTTGCATTTGAATAATGCAGTTCTAGATTCCTTCACCGATTTAGCATTGCACTCCTGTAATATTTTTAGACTTACAATTAACAGTTTATTTAAAAAAAGAATAAAAATTACCCTACATTACCCACAATGCAACATGACTTGATAATTGGGTGCCTTATGCTAGTTTCAAGCCCCTAACCTCAAGCAAAGATGAGGAGCGGGCTTCAAAGTTCTGGTGAGCTCACTTCTTTCTAACTAAACACCCGCAGATTGTTTTATATTTTCAAACTTGTAGTCTTTAGACCCAGGGTGACTCAAGTGACATCACTTGAGGCAGTTATCAGATTTCACGCAGCTCCTTCTGGAGCCACTAAAGGCTTTACACCTTTTCCACATATGTAAGCAGACTTTGATGTGTAAAATTGGTAAAAAAAAAAAAAGGCTTGTAACAGTTAATTTTTCTTCCATTTACCTTATTATATTCTATATTATGGTTCATTTGTGTCCTGCTTTAACGTTTACAATTTAAAGAATAACTTATTGCACTTCTGTGAGGTAAAAGTAATTCTGCTTCTGATTCAAGAGAAAATCAACAAATTCTGACAACATCACATTCACACTGATCCGGGACATCTAAAAAATCAACATGCCTGTATGGAAAGTTCTGGTTTTTTTTTTTTTTTTTTTAAAGTATTTTTTGGGGCTTTTATTGCCTTTATGATAGTGACAGCTGGAGATAGACAGAAAAGGGGGGCAGAGAGAGGGGATGACACGCAGCAAAGGGCCGCAGGTCGGATTCAAACCCTGGGCCGCTGCAGCAAGGACTCAGCCTCAGTACATGGGTCGCCAGCTCTACCCACTGAGCTATCTGGGTGCACGGAAAGTTCTGTTTCATTCTTCCTGACCTCCACACACTGTGGCAATCCAAGAATTACACACTGTCTCTCACATCATCCAGGATTCATAAAACACTAGTTATACTAAGGGAGTGTATTGAAGTTAAAACGGCACCAACAAAAGCTCAGCAGGCCAGCGGTTGAGCTCTGACTCTCTCTCTGAAGTGTGCAGGAATGGAACGTGTGGGAATAATTTCTATCTTGTACTTTCTGTCTTTTCAGGTTGCTGTCGCCTTCAAACACAACTGCACCTCTCAGAGATTTACCCACAAACACTGCTGTTTCCAAATTCAGCCCTCTGCCAGACTCCACAAAAACCTACACAAATGCTCCCACTCATACCCCCTCCAGACTGGGACCAACATGGCTCACGGAGAAACCCAGCACCCCTCCCAGCACTTTTTCTACTCCATCTCCTTCCCGGCCTGCTTCAAGTCTCTCTTCTGCTGCCAAAGAGAGTCAGACATCTTTATTCTCCAAACCCTCAACTTCACAGACTACTGAATCTACCTTCACCACAACCACTTCCATCAATACCAGGCCCACTGCTGCTCCTCGTACCTCAACCACGGCGGCAAAGACGATGCAGTCCAAACTCAAGTTCTTCCAGTCGGACAACACCGCTAACGATGAAGAGAAAAAGACTACAACCACCAACATTGACATAAATAAAGGGCAGAATGTGACTGGTAAGGTCCAGCAGGGCGCAGCAGGTCAGGCTGTGACTGTTGTTGTGAATGTTGGTGGTACTGGCAGAAAGAGCTTGGACACAGGTGGGGAGAGAGGTAAAGCAGCTGGTGTAGGTGGAGATTCAGGAAAGGCGTGTGAGAGTAATATGACTAAAGCATCTGCAGCAGCCTTCATCTCCAAAAAACTGGAGGTGAACAATAATAACAACAGTAAGCCATCGTGGGCGACTGTATCGCTGAAGAAAACTGACAAGTAAGTACTCATGCCTAGACCTTTTATTAACTTGCCTTGGCCTGACCTCTACTGGTGAATAATAGCATTTATTAACACTTCACCTCTTATCAGACCCTCTCAGGTCGAGACTCCAAAGAGGGAGACGGAGGGTGTCAGAGGGAGAGTGAGGCTGAGAGCAGACCCCTCACTCCTCGCCGACCTGCAGACTCCGGACATCCCGAACGCTGCTCCGAGCCCGGCCAGCAGGAGCGGACTCAGAGCCAGAACCCCAGACAGAGGCGGCTCAAAGCCTGGCAGTGCATCACCCAACACCTCAGGTTAAACTCACACACTTTGATAACGGTGGTTGTTTTCTGGTATAATGCCTGTTTGTGTGTGTATATCAGTTTTTTATGATGTTAGCAACCTGGGTTAATTTCAGGTGAGGTGGTGTGAAGCTGCTGGGAAAACCCTGATTTGTTAGTGGTATAAATGGATGAGTACTTGTTTAGAAAATATAAAGTAGGGCTGGGTGATTATAGTGAAAATATCACAATATTAGTATATTCTTATATTGATATATTTTATGATGCAAAATCACATATAAAGTAATGATACTGTTGTCTGAAGCCATGAACTGTCAGAGTCATACATTTAGACAGCAGAATAAAATAATATAAGCAAGCCTCCACACTATTGAAGTTCAGAGTGGAAATTAAATGCTCTGCAGAAAAAAGAGATCTTCAATTAATGAAAAATAACTGCATCAAATTGATGTGATGCATTAAATGCACAGAGAGCATTAATATAAGATAGATTTAATGGCTCTGGGGACATTTTTACAAAAATTAACCACTTCATGGTTTAAAAGATATGAAATACAGAGAGTAAAAACTTACTTGTTTGTAGTTACTACATTGTACATGAGGAAATCCTTGGACTACTAGATGTAACTTGAGTTTAGATAATTTTAGCTGTGTTTCCATCCAAACTACTTTTAAAGGGACTGAAAGGTTCCTTCAACCAGTTGGTGGCATCCAAGGTGTTTCCCTCTTCAAAAGCCCTCCCCCTCCTCCAACATCACAAGGCCCACTCCTTCAACGAGGCAAACCAGAAATGCCACCCAAATCTGATTAACTGGCTCAAGTGATGTCACTTGACTCACCCTGGGTCTAAAGAAAACAAGTTTGAAAATATAAAACAATCTGGAGATGTTTAGTAAGAAAGAAGTGAGCTCACCAGACCTCTGTAGCCCGCTCCTCATATTTGCTTTAGGTTAGCGGCTTGAAACTAGCATAAGGCACCCAATTCTCAAGCCGTTTTGCATTGTGGGTAATGTAGGGTAATTTTAATAATGTTTTTTAAATAAACTGTTAATTGTAAGTCTAAAAATATTATAAGCTATTAAGTGGCTTAGATTACTTTATTACACATGTCTGCAAAACTGTTGTCACTACAGCTACAAACAAGTACATCTTTACTCTCTGTATTTGTGTGTTTCCTGTGTTTCCACTGCGGTCTAAAGACCCGTGAAGATCAGGCAAATTAGTCTGATGATTACTGATGTATGAAGAAGTGACGGTTGTTTTTACATGTCATGCGTGACGGTACAACAACGAGGAGTCAGTCAGTCTGTCGTATGCTTTCTTTTGTAACTCCATGTTAATGTGTCGAAGCACAATGAACAAAAAACAAACTGGTGGCTGAAAAGGATTTATTGTGGGGTAAAATAATCCCCGGAACTTAATTTTGGGTACATTTAATTCCTGTGGTGGAAACGTACTGAGTTCCTCCAAAGGTTCCTACTCCCTAGTGAGAGTCCCTGCAGTGGAAACGTGGCTTTTGTTAAACATACTGTTCACAGAGGTAAAGAATGAGTTTTACAGACACATCTTTTGTAAAGGCTGGTTTTGGGAAAAAATACTGTTTGTATTGCGTGGGATTTTACCTCAAAATGTGGAAAATTGATTCCTCAATGCCAACCTGAAATCAGCCTGTTTCTTCACCCTGTACATGAGAGTTACTGTTGGAAGACACACAGCAGGATGCTCTTAATGTGAACTTTTACATTGTTTGACCTCCTGTTGGTTGAAATCATTCATAACGAAGGAATAGAAATAGGAACTGACACTGGATAGTGGGTGGGACTGTGGTGTGATGAAGGAACTGCAGCTGAAACTGAAAAACACTCAATTTTTGTTTGATTTCTTTTTTCTCAACAGTATCAGAAAATCAGTCCCCTGCCGACTGGAGGTCAAAACTCAAACCCATCTCCAAAGAAACCAAGTAAGACTTATTTGACGTTGGTAACGAAACAGAACAAGTCATATTCCATTTCCATTTTCTGTTTCCTGTTATTTCCTTGCCCTTGCTGGCTCACTTCCTAATTTCATACCTCCAGCAGGGAGTATCTGTACGTGGGTGTGCTCACAGCACATCAACATCATCAAGCGTTAACTGTGTGAGCGCTTTTTTCCCCCGATGTCCTGTCCATCCATCCATCCTTTGATCCAGTCTTTCATCCATCTATCCAACCATCACTCCCACAGGAAGCCTGTACCTGCTGCTCCTCCAAATGGCTCGGCCATCATTTGTAGTCAGGGCTTTCAGTCTCTCCTCTTCCGCCACATGCATGTGAGCCCCAAATGGTGTCATGACTGAGTAGAGTCCTCCGTGGTGCAACATATGCTCAGTGCTCTGAGTTCCTTTCCCCAGATGACCTTTCCTCCCACTCCCATGAATCAAAACCAGAGCGAGACAGAAAAGGGACGACTTGTAGGAGCAGATAAATTGCCATTAATTAAATTCTGTCTCTCTTTTTCTTGTTTCTGCTCATCCTCCATCCATCTGCAGACCGGCTGGTCCTTCACAGTCTTCCCCTAAACCCTCGGCTAATGGAGCTGGAAAGTCATACACTTCAGAGCTTTCTATCGGGCCTTCCCCCAGCCCGAGCATTTCTGTCACTCCAGCAGCACCAAAGGGTAACATGGTCACCATTATTGTAACATTGTTATGTTTTAACATTATTTGGACAAAACAAAACCCCCCTTAAACGAGGTTTAAGTGGTCTCCTTAAAGATGAAAGTGAAATAAAATATGAAAGAAATATGAATCATAAACCTAAATAAGACCTCTCTGGGTTTCCTATTTCTTTTGTCTTTGTTCTTAAAATTCTTTTAAATTATTTTCTGCATTTTACCTCCTTCCTGTTTCAGGATTCCTGAATAATCCGGAAGACCTAACTGCGAATGGTACCAAGTCAGAGTTGAAGATTTCCAAGGTACTGAATCCGAAGTCATTTTTAAATTGAATCCCTTTGAGGTTTTTATTTTTTGTTCAGTCAAAAATGGCATTTAGAAGATGACACCTTGAGCAGTACATGTTAATCATCCATATACTACTGCATAGTGCTGTAACTTCACTAAAAACTCAAACTAACAAAGCTAGCTGGATATGGTCTTTTTTTTAACCAGAATTTTCACACTCCATATTAATTATTTAACTAAAGTATTATTTATATATGTTTTACTCATCATATTTGGGCCCTCACAGTAAGATGTAAGGATGTTTGACATTTGTCCACCTGTGTTCCTGATCTTGTCTGCGTGTATGTGTGTTACATGTGCAGACTAAGCCGGACTACATTCAGAAAGAGGACATCATAAAGGAGCTGCAGGACATTGAAGATAATTTGAACGAGTTGGAGAAGAGGGGAGTCGAGCTGGAGATGAAGCTCCGCAGCAGTGAAGAAGGTGAGATAAACACACACACATACTGTATGAGCCTCCTATTGGGTCTGAGTCAGAAGAGGAAGGTTATATGGGATTAACTGTGTGTGTTTGTGTGTCAGAGGGTGAAGACGACTCTCTCATGGATGAGCTCATGGTCGAGTGGTTCAACTTGATCAGGAACAAGCAGGTGGCCATGCGCCGGGAGTCTGAACTGGTCTACATGTGAGTACACACACACACGCACACACACACACACGCACACACACACCCGCACGCACGCACACACACACACACACACACACACACACAAACACACTTAGAAATGGAGCATGCCACTATTAAGCGATTAGTGAGACAGACTTGTGGCCAGAAGGTTGACAGTTTGAATTCCCAGTGTCCTCCCTCCTCCGTCCCACAGCAGGACGTCCTGGAACAAGACTGCTCACCCCCCACCGGCTGCAGTGGACAGAGAAGTGTGAAGCAGGATGCTGCTTAACAGCACACATGCACTGCAATTATTCCTTTCATAAACTGATGTAAAAGCTCAACCTCTACCAAGGCCACAATCCTGTAAATATCTTTTTAATAACACAAGGTATTAATAAAAATGCCTGCATTCGACTTCAGATCTGCATTAAAATACGCACTGTGTTAGAGAGCATGGAGATTTTTGGAGAACAGTGGGTATAGTAGAAGGATTTTGTACCAGTGAGTTGGACACTGAGCTAAGTTCATTTGGCAAGCTTGACTTACAATCAGGAGCACAAACATAAAAACTAAAAACAGACAAAGTGCAGACAAAAACAAAAAGTACCAAAAATACAAAAATGATTCCTGTACATACAATATACAGTAAACCGTAACATAACAACGATGCAAAGAAATTCATGAGCAAGATACTAAAATGATGAAGATGATAAAAAGATAAAATTACATGTGCAAATTAAGCTGGGATATTGCACAAGGAACAAAAGAGTTTTTACTGCTATTGCACTTTAACCTTGGTACTCTAAATCTGCGGCCTGAGGGAAGAGTTTCAAACTCAAGGTGAAGGTTGCCGACCTTAACAATGTGGTTCAGGTGGTTTTTATACGTTTATATGTTTAGGTTACCATAGCAAACAATCACAGAAAAAGTAAGTAAGCTAATGAGCATTTTACTTAAGGCCATTTAAAGCAGCTCTAATCAATGTTTTTTACAGTAGAAGAAATGATCAGGTGTGATGTGAACAGGTCTCTCATAGTGACAAACCCATATAGAATTACCACCTGCCTCTAATCCGAGTGTTTAGTGTCTTTCAGCTTATTGTTTTAGTTTTATGGCCTGCAGCCTTATGGTTATGGTTCACTCTCACCGCTCTCATCAGCGTCTCATAAACCCACTGTACAAGACCTGCTCAGCACCAGGCGGTAGACAGGCAAAGTTAGTGACAAGCTGGTGAACATAGTGAAGCATTTAGCAGCTAAAGAGCCAGATATTTGTCATAGGTGTCGGTGGAGACCAAAATAGAGCTAAAAGAGAGAATATTGTACATTGACAAGTTTACGTATTTTATAAAAGTGTCAATCTTAACCATCAACCAATCTTACATTTATATGTTGTTTTTACGTGCAGTGGAAAAACCCAGGACCTGGAGGAACAGCAGCCCAGTGTGGAGCAGGAGCTTAGGAGACTGATGGATAAACCAGGTGAGGGGTTTGCGGGGAAACGCATTCAACACAAGACATTAAACAGAAACAGATCAAACATCTAAAATGTGTTTGTGTTTTGAGCAGATCATCTGAAAACAGCCTGGGACCGGAAGAGAGAAGAGCAGCTGATGGCCAAACTGGTGGAGATTGTCAATGACAGAAATGCTATTGTGGAAGGTCTGGATGAGGACAGACTCAGGTGTGTATACAACTGATTATTTAGTTGCTTTTAGACACACATAACAGAACTTCTGGACAACATGATGTTACAAGTTAAATGGAAAACTCTATGTAGTGTATGAAATTAAGGGTTTTAAGGTGTTTACATCCATATTGTGTAAGCAGTGTACATGGGAGCCCTAACCCTAACCAAGCAAAATATTCTTGGCTGATTGGTAGCCAGCAGGCAAAAAACCTCCCAAAACAAAAAGGCATGAAGCATTTCTGTTAGATCTCAGGAATTTGACTCCAAATATTAACTTCATGTATAAAAACAGTATATGTATGCTCACACAGGTACGAGCGGCTGTTAATCTTTTTGTGCGTTCTCGTTTGGTTTTCTCAGGGAGGAAGAGGAGGACGAGGAGCTAAACAAGATGATGATGAATTTCAGTGAGTGTCTCCAACACCTCCACAGGCCGTCTGACCCCCTTCCGCTCTGTTCATTAGTTATCACAACCCCGGTGTCACTGCAACTTAGTTGGCTTATAAATTATCCAATTGAGGATTTCCATCATGGACGCCTCTAATTGAAGTAGATAGAATTCTCATTGTGGTTTTCGGAAGTGAGCGTGTGTGCGTGTGCGTGCGTGCGTGCATGTGTGTGTGTGTGTGTGTGTGTGTGTTTTTTTTTTGTGTGTGTGAGAATGTGTTGCATTTTTAAGGGTGCCACTGGGCGATGTTTTCATCTCATTTGATCTAATGACTGCTAATGGAAAAAGCATCAAACAAAATGCTCCCCCTCTTTTTTTGTCAGCGGCGTTCCTATTAGACAAATGGATAATGCTGCTGGTTAATTTGACCCTCTGATAGAATAGAGTTAAAGCCGACTTCATTTGCAATTCATGACTGGGAAAGCAGGGCTGAAATTGAGGAGATTTATTGAACTTCAGTGAAAGGTCGTTATGCTACAGCGAATGAACGCCGACCGTGGGCTAAAGACTAGCCATTTCAATTTAATGTATTCATAAAGTTAATGCCAAAGTTTCACAGTTCATTCCCGCTCTGAGTACATGTGATAGTTTACACACATGTCGTATCACATAAGATAAACGCAGCTTTATACCACGGCTGCCGAAAATACCACTTTTTGATTGGCTGGCAGGTGTTTTCTTAACATCTTGTAACAGGAAATGTCAAACATAGCTGCAGTCAACAGGTTAAATGACTAAATTACAGTACATTAAACCGCATGTAACCATGGCAACAATGCTTCGCAACACAACTTTTGTACACATACTCTCTTTTTGCTTGTGATAAATGGTTGTAGTATGAGCACAATAATGGATGCAGAGGTAGTGATAGAATAAGTAATATATTTAAGAGAATTTAAGAGACTAAGGTTTTAGTTTCATCTATCAGGGAATCTTGTCATGTGATTACTAACTGAATGTCTAGCGCTCATGTAGTGACTGTCGCCTCATATATAAAGCTGCATTAATCAGTTTTTTTGTCCGCTTTGGGGCAGAACAATACAACAAACTTTTAATTATACATGTTTGGGCTTGACTATACGTCGAACCACGTGCCCGTGACGACGTGTCGAATTCCGTCGATCGGCCATAAAACAGTACTCATAACTTCAGTGTACAATGTCCAATGTCCACTAAACTTCACATATTCTGTAACAGTCCCACCCTGAACACATCCTCACAACTTCAGTGTGCATGGTCCAATCTCAATGAAACTTCACACGTTTGATAAGAGTCCCGCCCTGAACACGTCTACATGACAATATTCAGATATAGTGAGAGCGCCACCTACTGGCAACAGGAAGTAAGCGCTGCGATTATGATCTGATTTACGTGAAATTTTCCTGTTTTGGTCCGCACTTGTTACACCTGCACGTGACGCGGCCACTGCACACCCGAGTTGCGTGGAGTGCGAGGGCCCGTTCATCGCTGCTTGCAGCTTTAATTTATGTTATTTTTGTTCATTAAGTTTTAGCGAAGTTTGTTTATTTTTAAATATTTTTATTGTCGGAATGTTGTGTTTTTTTATTCCTTTACTCTTTTGCTGTGATGTCATCGGAAATTTCGTGATGTCATTCCAGATCAAAGCCAATAGAATGTTCCTTTGATACAAAGGCGAACATTCCGTCTGAAAATGCATAAATAGGATCTAAATCCAACATCAGTTCAGACTCACTTCGAACACAACGACAAACACAGAAAGATTCTTCAGGACTTTGGATTTAAGAACATAAACAAATACAAGGATGGATCAAACAGCAACTGATAGTCTTCGCGCGCACATCCGACAGTGCCTGGAGAAGCTGACAACCATAGAGTGGTCGCTTCTGAAATCCGGGTCCCTCGAAAAGGAGACCGAAGAGATTATAACTGACATTTGCGTGGATATCGTGAATACGATATTCATCCACATATATGGGGTGTTTAGAGAGAGGAAACTGAAGTGGAGAGACACTCCCAAATCCTCCAAAAGCTCTCCTGGATTAGCCAGATCACAGAAGAGCACGGTATCTGAAGACGACGTCCGTGGTTGTCTTGAGGACTTAATCTGTCTGGCCTTATCGGAGGCCACCGGTGTCCCAGACATCAATTCCCGAAGTGCGGAGAAGCTAACGGACGCTGTGATTACAGAGGTCACAGAAAGATTCAATATGGTCTCCAAAAGCTCTGAAAGAAGTGGAGACGATGAGGGGAGCAGACCTCTCATCTCACCTTCCTTCACTGAGAGACTGAAGACCATGGTCCGACACGTGGCCAAAATCTTGATGAAGTGTGCCATAAAGAAAGGTCAGCAAAGCCTGACAACGGAGTCAGCGGAAAGCCAGATAACACTGGAAAACTTGCCAGTGGAGGACCCAATGTTGGTTGGAACGGAGGAGTCCTGCTGCACCCCCGTTGTTCCTTCTCTTGATGACACCGAAACAGAGTCTCCGAAGAGCTTCGTGGACAAAGTCACAGAAGCCGTAAAAATCATTGTACAAGAAAGGGCCAAGATAATCAAACCAATTGATTACTTCGTCCAGGTTTCGGAGGAAGATGGCGACATGTTCGAGTTGGAATCCTCCTACGACATGGCTGAGGTGGCTTCTGCAATTGTCGTTGAGATAATTGAGGAGTTGAAACTCAATTCAGAAGTTTCACTGCCTGACTCTCTGGCAATATCAGAAAAGACGTCCCACTGGAAAACAGTGGCAGCCAAACTGAAGGATTTTTATGCTCAGCGTTTTGCAATGGGGTCACTACTCAGCCTCATGGCAAAACTGAGGCGTAAATATAAATGCGTCCGAGAAGAACAGTCTTCTCTGAGCCAGCTGATGGAGGAGGCTGATGAGGTAGTCAGGAGTATCATCTCATTGACTGAAGAGGATCTAAGGAAGATGAGAACAGATGAGACACCTGACGAAATAATCAACTCTGTTGGCAGGGATCAGGACAACACAGCTGCCATAGAGCTCGGTGATTTAGTTTCTGAACACCTACAGCCAGAGGCTCCCATGGTGGACTTCCGCCTTCAAATACAGGACGAAGTGGACACCTTTATGGGACAGATCAGGCGATGGCTTAACGTGCAGCTGATACGCCACCAGAGGAAGAAGGACCACGTGACTCTTGTCCTGAAAAAGATCAGGGAAGTGGTCTGTCAGACATCTACTGAGACCCCCTCCATCATAGGAAGTGGCTGCGTGACACCTGTGGAAGTTGAAACTAAACCACCTTCCACCCCCATTCGGTCCCTAAAGTCACCGGTGGGAGCTAAGACTGGTGACACCCTGATGGTTGAAGCAGAATCACCTTCCACCACCGTTAGGTCCATCAAGTCACTGGTGGGAGCTAAGACTGGTGACACCCTGGTGGTTGAAGTTGAATCACCTTCCACCCACGTTAGGTCCATCAAGTCACCGGTGGGAGCTAAGACTGGTGACACCCTGGTGGTTGAAGTTGAATCACCTTCCACCCATGTTCAGTCCGTCAAGTCACCTATGGGAGCTAAGACTGGTGACACCCTGGTGGTTGAAGCAGAATCACCTTCCACCCCCGTTAGGTCCATCAAGTCACCGGTGGGACCTAAGACTGGTGACACCCTGGTGGTTGAAGTTGAATCACCTCCCACCCACGTTCAGTCCGTCAAGTCACCTGTGGGAGCTAAGACTGGTGACACCCTTGAAGCCAAACCACCTTCCACCCCTGTTCGGTCTGTCAAGTCACCAGTCAGTGATGAAGCTGCGGTTGAGACTGCAGCACCAGCAGCCGATCAGTGGGACGATACCAGATGCAGGCTTATGGTCATTGCACTCGTTCGTAGAATTATGAAAAGTCCGATACATCTGGACATTCATGTGACCTGCAGTGACTTTGAGGCAGTCAGCAGGTCACTGGCGGAGACGTTCCTGGAACAGATCACAGGTTCCGAGTTTGCTGTAAAGCCAAGTGGCCAGCACATCAAGAAGGTCGCCAAGGCGGTGCACAAGGAGTTGTGCAAGCTGACAGGCGATGCAGAGATCTTGAAGATGTGCCTGCTGTCCCGGGATGCATCTGTTTACAGATGCATAACTGAGACACTAGCGAAGCATCTGGTGATGCCGCAGAAGAAGACAGGGGTGAACAGACTCTTCTCACGTCTCTTCAAGACCGTGGCCAAGCCGTTCACTGCTTGCTTTGGACGCAAAGAGTAATCTTTGCCGGTTTTTGACCGGACGCTATCTGAGATGACACTGGGTTTACTCTGAGAGGCTTCGGTTCGCCCACATTTGAACTATAATGAAAAAAAATGATCTCAGTTAAGAGAAGAATTGTCTGGTGGATCCTGACACTGGACATCACGTGTCATAGGGACAGGACATGCGTACTAACTGGGATGACACAGGGTTTACTCCGAGAGACTTCGGTTCGCCAACATTTGAACTATAATGAAAAAAATGTATCTCAGTTAAGAGAAGAATTGTCTGGTGGATCGCGACACAGGACATCAGGTATCATAGGGCCACACAGGTGCCTCAGTGTAACACTGTGGCCTTGCAGCTATCAGGTGAAGGTTAAATTCCAGCCTTTGACCCCCTTTTGCTGTGAGGAGTACAGAGTGCTCAACGTGTTGGCGTGGGTTTTCCCCGAGTAGCTTTGGTTTCCTCCCACATTTTAAAAAATAAACGATTGAGCCAAACTTATAGCCACGTTTGGCCTACTCAGCAGGGGAGCTGGGGCCTATCCCAGCATGCATTGTGTAAAAGGCCTTGGGACACACCCCAGAGATGTTATTAGTCTAGACAAACCCATTCACACCTACAGCCCCCCCCCTAAAAATAAATAGATAAATAATCTAAAATAAAAACAAACAATATAACATATAACAAGCAATCCGTCTGATAAGAGTCTCACTATGAACGACCCTAGTAGAAACAGTAAATGTCATATACTTTCATGTACTACTCCGAGCAGATTGATCAGATCCAGCTGATTTTTGCTGATGATATTTACTAAATGTTGTGACGCTTCGTTGAACGGCGTCTGTGGCGTTTGGCGTTGAATTTAGAAAAAAACTACTTATTTTGATGCTTTGAGGCATCAAAGTCTGCTAGCAAGTTCAGTTTTTGGACCTCTGTAGTTGTACAGCAATGCTAGTAAGCCTGAAATTGATATTGGTTGAATATAAGTTGGGTTCTGCCATTTTTTAACTACTGCTAATTTACTGCAACAAAAATATGAAAGCTTTGACTGTTCATTTGTGCTACATCACTTTAAAACATCTGAGTTCCTCATTTGTTTTTGTCATCAAAAATGTAAGAACTGATTGAGTTTATTGATTGAAATTTCACAGAATTACTATTCACAATCTCACCTCTTATGCTTACTCCCCCTTCCTACTTCTCTCTGTCCCTCTCTCTCTCTCAGACATAAAGAAAGACAAACCAAAGAAAAAGTCTCCAATGTCCAAACTGTTGCGCTGGGGGAACAAGAAGGAGGGATGATGCTCCGCCAAAACATAGCGCTGCTTCTTTCTTTGATGTTTTTTTTTTTTTGCTGCTCTTGTTGTAGTCTTAATGTCAGTGTGATCAGCCTGTGATTCATGGGATAACATGGGTAGTCTGTGTATGTTTGTGTGTGTGTGTGATCTGTCATTTTAAGCATTTATAGAGAAATGCCCTCCCCTCTGTCGACTGGATCACTCAAGATGTGAAGCCACTCTTGCCTGCCAGGCCCCCCCCCCACACACACACAGACAAACACAGAGGATGTTGAGGGGTTAATGACTCACCAGCGGTGATGTGATTGGGTTCAGCGCTCCACTTGTTAGTTTTAATACTCTTCTAGTCTTAATCTGTCTACTTAATGCTGTCAAACACACACACACACACACACACACACACACACACACACACACACACACACACACACACACACACACACACACACACACACAGATACACGTTTTCTCCTCTCCTTATATATATATATATATATATATATATATATATATATATATATATATATATATATATATATATATATATATAGACAGACAGTGACCCTGAAGTTAGTCACAGATTCACTTGTGACTTGTAGTGTGCACTAAAACATGACCAGAGAGCAAAAAACAGCTGTCTGATCTTTGTTCTCGCATTGTGTATGTGTATATATATATATATATATATATACACATACACACACACACACACAGTTACACTTCAACTACAGATGCTAATGCGAGAACAAAGATCAGACAGCTGTTTTTTGCTCTCTGGTCATGTTTTAGTGCACACTACAAGTCACAAGTGAATCTGTGACTAACTTCAGGGTCACTGTCTGACCCTGTTGTAGTAGATTACATGTTGAACTGCATTTCTCTTTTAATCTTAAAGGTCTCTCTCCGTGTAGTTTCCTGTCAAACACAACACTCATTTTTTCTTGGACAACACGTTTACTCAGAGCACTGCCCTTTGTTAAGGTCTTTAATAGCATCTGCTACACCAGTGGTTTCCAACCTGGGGTTCAGGAGTTTTGAGTTCACAGGAAAGCAAAAAGTTGAGAAATCGTATTTACTTTTGACTTTTGTCTCATGAATTATTGGATAATTGTGAAGGAATAATCAGTCTTTGGTAGAACAACCTGCTACATAACTTTGTTTTAAAGGATTAAAAGCCCCCCCAAAAAGTCTGGAAACCACTGTTCCAGAAACACACTCACATGTGCAGACATTAGCTGACCTTTAGGAACTGTCGTATGTGAAGAGAATAGGCTCAAAGGTTCACTTACTAATTATTTAGAGCTTTCAACCGCATACTTAGCTCTTCATTGAGCGATCATGATCCTTTAAGAATGAAGTGAAATTGAAATCAGTGAAAAGCTCTGGATCAATCAGTCAGTGTACCTTTGAGCTTAGATTATCCTCATCACATACAAACTGCAATCGAAATAAGACACTCCTGAGTTAACGCATATTTGATGCTCAAACATAGTTTTATGCTGTATGTATATGTAATGTAATATGTAGTTTGTGTTTCTGTCAGTTGACTGGAGGACAATTGTGGTGAATCTGGTTTATGACTGGAAGGTTTAAGGATTCACACCAAAGGGTTGACTGGATGTTTGTTTTAGAAATACAAGAACTGGTCCATATTGGATCTGGATTTGTACATGTTTTAAATATTTTAGTCTGTGTGTCATAATCTATTAATTTGGAGAGTGACCAAACTGCTTAATTTCAACACAACTGGTTGGTACCACATAATTTTAATTGTATATATGTTAATGTTCTCGTCCTCTTTATTCTCCTATATATCTCAGCTGTATGAATTGTATGAAGTTGATGCTAACAGTCTGATTGTGGAGAAACTGGCCTGGATTTTAAATAATTTACTGCAATAAAATTACTCCAATTTTAATAAAAAGGTGACATTAGTTGATCTTTGTCTTCTATATAGAGTGATCCATACTCATATGGGAATACAAAAATATACATAACTTAAATGGTGAATATAATTTAAAGCAGCTCACTCTCGCAGGGGAAGTGGTGGTGGTGGTTGTATTTTGCCTTCATATTACTTACTGAAATGTGTTGGGGTTTAAATTTTTGGTGGTTTTATTCAGACACTGTAATGTTTTCATCATGTTTGGCCTGAGCTTGATTTATCTTTGTCATTTCAAATAGTTAAACTCCTGCAGTGATGCATTTTCTCTGTACAAACACTAGGAGGCAGCATGATCCTTTCCATGTCACTGAGCTCCCAGAGCATGAATCCATCAGTATGTTTGGTCTGTAGAGCTGACAAATACACTAACGGTCCAACCCAGACATACAATGAAAAAGAGGATTTATAACTTTTTTATTTATATTCCTCAAAGAAAAGTAAAGTTTTGAGCATCAGATCTTCTTTTATTCTCACTACTGCACAAACACTCCTTAAGCCTCATTCTCCGTCACCTCCAACCCAGTCTGCTATCACTTCTCCTGTGAAACTATTACATAATATACAAGTTGTCACGTATATTTCTGTTTCTCTTGTCAGACATCGATATGACAATAAAAACAAATAGAATGCAGAATCTGATTGACATTAACAATAACAATCTTATAATTAATATGTCTTCTGCAGTTAGTTGCTGCACAGGCTGTTTGTTTTCTACTCTAAAAATACATCAAACTCTTCATAAACAGAGTGAGGACTGATTTGCCCATCTTAAGATCAGGTTTCTTTAAAGTCCAGTGAGTAACATTTAGGAGGATCTATGAGCAGAAATGTTTTTGTTACCTCAGAATGAGCTGTTTTTCATCTTCTACGGAGTCCGCCACGTTTCACTACCAAACCAAACACTGGCTGCAGATAGGGCTCTTTGTTTTTTTTGGTGAGTTTTGAAATGGGAAATGGGAGGGTGAAGCGAGGGTGCTGCAGTGGGCAACTGCACCGTTATAGATCCCACACGTTGTACTAAACCAGCTTCAAGTCAGGTCAAGTAGATTGTATTTATATATAATAGGTTAAAATCACACATTTTCTTCACAATCTACAACACCTCTGTCATTTTTTTTGTTTGCATAATGACACATTTCTGCAAAGGGATGAAAAAGATGTCCAATTTATTATAAACATATAGAGGTTATGATAATAACAACAATAATTGCCCATGTTGTTTCTCCACCTCATGCTGTATTTGAATTGTGTGTTTGATCAGGGGTGTAGTGAGGAACTCCTGGTCCACCATTTTAAATAAAAATATCAATGAGTCCCTAGAATCATCATAACCTTCACCTTACTAATAAAGATGCTGTATATTGGTTCTATAGAGGAGAGCTAAATATATTATTATAAATATTTACATTACAGTATCCTAGCTGAATTTATTTTCTTTCTGTTTTCAAACCTCCTCAGAAGCTTAGTATGTGTGATACAGAAACTCACATAGAATATTTCAAGCGTGTTCTTATAATATAAGACTTCTGACCAAAGTACGCATGCAGAAATAGACGCCACGCAGAGCTTTGAGTGTTGAGGTCAAACATGCAAACACAAGAACAATTTCTCTCTGCTATAGTTACAATATGCATTTACATTAGCGAAGAGGAAACGAGAGAAATAATACAATAAAAGAAGAAAAGAGCAGGGAAATTGACTTTTAGCTCCAAGTTGTTGTTTTTTTTCATATCTTTTGGTGTGAAAATACAAAACTGCGTAATCTTTTCCCCTCTTAAGGCAACATTTGTTCCTGTTGTTATGTGTGAAAGTGTTTGTTGATTCCTTCTTTAAACCATGATAAAATGTTCCATCACCACACCGCTGTGTGTCTGAATCAATCATGTCTCCGCTTGACTTTGGAACATGTTTATCTTTGGGGTGAAAATGTGCCTTTAAGTCGACTCAATAAGGTACATTTATAATGTTGGAGACTGGGGTTTCAGTACAGACTGTAAATATACCTTTGAGGTGGTACATTTACATAACACAGTGGGCCCTCACATATTCTTCACACAGACTTTTAAACAGTTAAGTGAGTTTCGGTGAGGCTCGACTCGACTGTTTTGAAATAATGTGATTCAACCATTCACATGCCATATCTGTTTAATCCATCAAAATAGTATAAACTCGACATTAGCATACACTCAACCTGTTGGTATTGTTGTTTAACACGCCTTTATGCTCTTTTTCACAATCTTTTAAGGTTTAAAAGGAAGCTGTGTTCATAATTTGACACACTGCACACTTCTCACTGTTTGTATTCATCCCTTTAGTGTTTATAACTTGGTCTTTGTTACACACACCTTGTAGATTTTATTGTCTCTTCAAGTAAACTCAAGTTAACTTCTTTAATTGATTATTTTAGTTGTCTATTTTCATCTTCCTGGTGTGACCTTAAACATGCATTGTTTTTATTTTCCACTTGGGGGCTGCGCAACCAACAAGCAGAAAACTCAGCACTGACATATTATCACCTGCAGCCCAGTCTCATGCCTACACATGTAATAGACCCACCGATCCACTGCAGGATACCGTGTCAGTGTCACGTTTCTCCTCGCACAGATGTGAAATGGACACACGTGTATGAAGGTGCAATATAAAAAGCAACAAAGTTCACTTAAGGAGGAGGTTGGCCTGGATATATGGGTCTAACAAACACAAGAGACTGCTGGACTAGTTGCCGGAAGATGCAGGACCAACAGACTGAATAGTTCACTCATTCCTGCTGCAGTTGGCCTCCTAAATAACTATGTTATATCTGTACTTACACTTACTTATTTATTGCCTCATTGGTTGATGCCTATTGTTTGTTGTCTGGTGATGTTGGTCATGTATATGTTACTGGCTGTAGAACAAATTGCCCTTTGGGGATAATAAAGCTACCCTTGAACCTTACTGTAAAACCAAAATTCAACAAATTAAAATTAAATTCGGTACTCAGTGTGTCCTCAGCAAGCTTTATATTGAAAGTGTAATCAGACATTGCATATTTATTTATTATTGACTGATAGTAAATGTGTTAGCATGTTGCCTATTTACATCCAAGGAGCAACATTAATATTAATTTGGAGTCGTGTGTGTGTCCATCGGGTACATGTAAGTGCAATATCCTTTGAGCTCTGTTTTGGTCTCCATCACCTCTTGAGGGATAATTTGTCTCTTTTGCTGCTAAATGCTCCTCTATGTTCTCCAGATAGTTGCTGAGACTGAACTAAAACAGTAAAGTTGCAGGCCATTAGATCAAACAATGCTCCATAGA